CCTTAGTTCTAGGTTGCTTCTCTCCTTGATTAGTTTCCATCCATTGCTTCTTGTCCTGCCTTCAGGCGCTTTGGAAAATAGCTTGACTCCCTCTTCTTTGTGGCAGCCCCTGAGATATTGGAACACTGCTATCATGTCCCCCCTCGTCCTTCTCTTCGTTAAACTAGACATACCCAATTCCAGCAGCCGTTCCTTATATTTCCTATATTTCTTTACCTATAATTAGGGGTTTAATATAAACCCCTAATTATAAAGTGCCTATTTACAGAAGGGTGGGGGGGGTTGTTTGTTTGTTTGATTCTTCGAATATCTCCCGCGAAACTTTCCTCGATGACACTGAAAAACAGATACTTATTAAAAAAAATTCGTTTCCGCAAGTGAGGGCCTTCTGCTGCCCTAAAACTACAATTCCCATATTGCCTTTCGGCGATCACGTTTCTCCCATGATGCCTGGGTCACGTGCCTCTAGATTAACTGAAGGTCGTGAGGAAGAAGCAACCTTTTTTGTGACCGGGCTTATATTTCGGCCGTCATGTTGATTAGCAGCGTTCGTCGTTTCGGCACCTCCGCCCTTCGGCGGATGCATTACGAGGACGGGCCGGGAAAGGTAAGATGGAGGCGGGAAGGGTAAGACTATAGGGCCTCCGTTACTTCTGCCCCTCGAGCGGCATGGCCAGGGCCGGTTTCTTGGGGAAGTCGGGCTAGGCCTCGGTCGTTTGGTGTGGGAGGAAGGCATCGGAGAGAGAGAGAGGCTCCTTCGCTTCTCTAGGCCCTTCGCCTTTCGAAGTCAGGGATGGAAAAATAATAAATCAGCTTTTGGGAGAGACGGCTCTTATTTTTCAGCCTCTTCCCCCCCTCTATTTTACGGCACGAAGTTGCTTTGAAAGGCCGGGATTGAAAGCTTAAAAGCCTTAAATCACGAAAAAGTGACATTTCGAAATGGAGGATAATGAGCCATAATTTATTTTTTTAATGGATTTAATATTTGTAATATCTCTGTTCACATTTTGGATCTGCACAGTACAGTGTTTCTCAACCTTGACCATTTTAAGGCATGTGGACTTCAACTCCCAGAATTCCACAGCCAGCAATGCTGCCTGTGGAATTCTGGGAGTTGAAGTCCACATGCCTTAAAATGGTCAAGGTTGAAGAAACACTGGCATAGTATGAAATATGCGGGCTGAGCTCTAGATACGGATGGGGCGAGCATTTCTTTTTTACCTCTCATTGTGGAATCGTTTTTAGAAAGACCATTTTTCTTGGCCTGCAGCAGTGTGTACGGTGGTGTTTTTAGTACTCTTAATATGTAGTTTGTGCTTATGGGCAGGAGCAGTGCCTTTGGTGCAATATATGACTATTTTCTTAATTCTACTGGTACAGATGATGATAGCATAACAGCATGAATAACAATGATACTGTAAACGCTTTCTGATGTACCTATTCTTGTGTTCGGATACCATTTAATTTCAGGTCATAAAACAGGAATAGTAGAAATCAAGGACTAGTTAAAATTAAAGGATGTTGACATTAATCTATGAAACCTGTGTGAGTGACCTTTTTATAAAATTAGGGATACATTTAATGTAACTATAAATGATGAATGAACATTTAGTACTTGGTTGTTATCCATGGGATTTTATACATTAACTTAGTTTAATAACTTAAGTACTGTGGCTAAAACAAAACTTCAACCTTCTTATCTTTTCAGAACCTCCCATTCTCTGTTGAAAACAAATGGAAATTGTTATTCGGAACCTTTATCTTTACCCTAACTGGTATTGGTGGTCCCTGTTTTATTGTAAGGCATCAGCTGCTTAAGCAGTGAATATGGGGTAATTCCTACTTATTTTCTTTTTATTCTCTAGAAGTCTTTTATATGAGTTACCTCTTGAAAACTATAA